CCGTTCTCTTGTGCAGGGCAACCAAAGAAGACCCAACCAATCATCTGGGACTCAATGGGAGGCAGAGAATAGATGGGGGCAGGGCCACTCAGAGGTGGGATTTGCCAGTTCTCCGAACTACTCAAAATTTTCACTACTGGTTCTGCAGAACTGGTCAGAACTTGCTGAATACCACTTTTCAGTTCTAACTATCAAGAAATTTCTCCTCCGTTCTAGGTTGCTTCTCTCTTTGATTATTTTCCACCCATTGCTTCTTGTCAAGTGTTTTGGAGAAGAGGTTGACCTCCCCAATTGTGGCAGCCTCTGAGATATTGGAACACTGTTACTATGTCTCCCCTAGTCCTTCTTTTCATCAGACTAAACATACCCAGTTCCAGCAACCGTTCTTTATATGTTTTAGCCTCCAGTCCCCTAATCATCTTTGTTGTTCTTCTCTGCACACTTTCCAGAGTCTCATCATCTTTTTTACATCCTGGTGACCAAAGCAGTATTCCAAGTGTGGCCCTATCACGGAATTATAAAATGGTATTAACACTTCATGTGATTTTGATAGCAAAAACACTTACATACGGCTCTCTCTAAGCAGTTTACAGAGTCAGCCTATTGCCCCCAATAATCTGGGTTCTCATTTTGCTGAACTCAAAAGCATGGAAGGCTGAGTCAACCTTGAGCCAGTCGGGATTGAACTCCAGGCTGTGGGCAGTCAGCCTGCAGTACTGCTTTTTAATTATTGCACCACCACGACTCTAGAACCAACACTAGATAGAACCAATGGAGCTTATGGCACCTGTGTCTGATGAAAGCTGGTAAGTATAGAAATCCTCAAATGGATACAACAAAATCCAGAGACACTCTAAAGAAATGGGACTATCCAGTAGCTTCTGCCCTTTGCGATTGTGATGACATACAGACAAAACATATGTACACCTGCTCTCTGTGTTCTGATCAGTGCACACTTAAGGAGCTCATGGCAGCGTGACAGAACACAATTAATGTTTCTAATTTCTGGGCAAGATCTGTTTAACTTGCACATATTTTAATCTTGTATTTTAAATTTTATATCATATAGTGCACCTTATTTTAATCGGGATGCTTCTGACATGAATAAACAATTGTTGGAAGAAAAATCCTTCTGGGTTCAGTTCCAAGGGGGGAAAAAGACACTGGAAACATGGAGGCTGTTTGGAAGGTTTAATGGTGGACAGGAGGACCACATGGCCTGGAGCTCCAGAGTGAAAAGGAGGGATGATCACATGCTTCAAGCTGAAGAAAGAGATCAAGAAAAGGGGCTGAGGTGCTGAGAGTGCCTGGGTTTTATAACCTTTGTTGGGATTTGAATTGGAGCTTGTATTCTAATTGGTTGTCAGACTCCCATGAGGCCATGCAGAGGCAACTCTGTAGGCTGTCCTGAGTTCCAGGCTTGGTTGAGCCTTGCTAGATGATGATGCACTGAAAGGGCTTTTGAGCAATTGCTATAGCTTTACCTGGAGATCTTTGTTATGTAAAGTATTCTGGCCCAAGCCTTAATGGCCCACCCATTAACAAAGGTGGGGGTGAGCTTCTGCTTCTGAGGTGAATTTCTGCTTCTGAGTTTCTACTCTTTTTAGGAGAAATATTCTGCCTTTTTAATATTTCCAAGGATATTTCAATTTTCTAGGAGGGGGGTGGGTGCCAACTTCCTACACCTCTCAAGGCCTTGTAACTTTGGACCACTGGGGGAAAAATAATTTTTAAAAAAGGACAATCCTATTGCAAAAAGGTGATCCACCTCTGGTATGCAGGATGACATATTAATGCCATTGCCATTTTGATGGAGAAGTCCCTGATGGCTAACATTTCAGCTTCCCTCTCTTGTCTGCCTCTTATTCCTGAAATGAATATTGAAAAACTTCACACCTGTTTCATAGAGGTCCTCTCTGAACGTCTCTGCCTCGCTGCCAAACATCTGGGCTAATATCCCAAGACAGTTGGAAAATTGTGTTAATAAGATTTCAGTTGGTCATGCCCGCATGTTAATTAGTTTATTGTGAATTTAAAAAAAAAAACTTCAAAAAGCGAATCAAGTTCACTCAGAGGACATCTTTCCTGATTATGAAAAGCCGCTTTATTCATAGTGGTTTGGCCAGTTCGTGTGGTTGATCCGCTTAAGTTTCCATCAGCACAATAATAAGTGTTCTACAGGTAGTCCTCGACCTATAACAATTCATTTAGTGTCCATTCAAAGTTGCAAAGGCTGTGGAAAAAAAGGACTTATGATCTTTTTCACACTTACGAGCATTGCAGCCTCTCCAGGATCACTTAATCCAAATTCAGATGCTTGGCAATTGCTTCATATTTATGACAGTTGCACTGGGGGAAACAACAAGTAATCCATTTTTGCAACCTTCCGACAAGCAAAGTCAACGGGGAAGCCAATTTCACTTAACAACCGTGTAACTAATTTAACCACTGCAGTGATTCACTTAACAGCTGTGGCAAGAAAGATCGCAACATGGGTCAAAAAAAACCCTCGCTTAACAAATGTCTCACTCGCCAACAGAAAATTTGGGCTCGATTGTGTTCGTACGTTGAGGACTTTTCTGTACAAAGCATTTAGCTCTTAACCATAGTTAAGAATACAAGCCGTGTATTCACTCCACTTTGCATTTCCACTGAAACTAGACTTTCGATTTTCCTAATAATGGGCTTTCTAAACAAGAACAGGGAGAACTGACAGGTTCAAGGCTAGGCAGAGAGCTTCCTCTTAAACCAGCATTCTCAGAAGCCCTCTAACCTAACCTCTGCCCAGGAGTATCCAGCTTCTCTGAGATTTACTCCACTCATTTCATTCCTTAGCATGTGAGAAGCAAGGGTGGGCTGCGGGGGGGGGGGGGTCCGCAGGGGCTCTGGATTAGCTAAGATTCTGTGCCGTTCGTTGAACCCCCAAATCCCAACTCCTGGCTGGCCCTGGCTGCTCCTCCCCTCCCAGGAGTACCCACCTGGCCCGTTTTGGATGCAGGTAAGTGCAGGGTGTGCACAAAGGCAAAAAAAATGGGCCTCCCGGAAGTTCAGGCCTGTTTCTGGCTTCCAGAGAGCCTGGGGAGGCCATTTTTGCCCTTCTGGAGGCTCGAGGAAAGCCTCCGGAGCCTGGGTAGGGCAAAAACGCTCCCCCCCCCCTCACACCGTGGTGCAGGAGGCCAACTAGGCCACGCCCACCATGGCCACACCTACCCAGCAAGCGGGCAGAGAACCTGTTGCTAAAATGTTTGAAGCCCACCCCTGGTGAGAAGCATATTCCTTCCCCCCACAAAAAAGAAACCAGCAGCATTATCTGAAGGGTATTTGGGGAGGATGCAAAAATGGGTGTAGGGCTCCGCATGCAGTTTGCCCACCCAAATCTTGAAGGGAGAACTGGGGCCCTCCCGCCCCCACCTTCTCACCTCCCCCCGCCCCCCCAAAAAAAGATCCCCTGCCCGATTTGCATCAGACCCAAGACAAACTTCATGTTGATTGTACAGCTGGGAGAGGAAGACAAAACCTTCATCGAAGGCCCCGGAGATATCCTGGGACACAATCCAAGCATTCCACCAGAAGCCTTTGACATCATCTGCTACCAGATCAAGGTTTATATTTTTAAAGCACATTAGGATTTATTTATTTTTTTGATAGATTAAGCAAGGGGAGATGTCAGAATTTGGATCCTGGGCTGCAGCGTGCTTTGTGTGCTCCCTGCCACGGAGCTCTGAGTTTCTTTCCCTGCCTTGACTCCCGGAGCCAAAAGAAATTAGGAATAAAGAACCTCTCTGAGTGAGCCGCTCTTGGCAAGAGCTGCCTTCATTCCAGGCCCTCTGATCTAAGGCTGATTATACAGAACCTCCTCCGGTTTCAAACTCTGCTCCTACTTCACTGAATCCCTTCCTCTCCGGGCCCCGCAAGACGGCGACGTGAGTTGGAGCCGAGAGTCAATGGTGGTTATGAAAGCGATGAAGGGAAGCCAATCCGTTTTGTGGCAGCCCTGGACCAGCAGGAAAAACAGCTGCCACACGTGGGAAGGGAGAGGAAGGAGCGGGTGGGTGGGAAAGGGAATAAACAATTTTTAATAGATCGAGGGGGAGGGGAGGACCACAAGTCAGGCCACTGTATTAATTCACAGAGACAGGAAGTATCTGTGTGGGAGATTTCCAAAGAGGAGCCAAAAGGAGAACAACAAATATGATTTGGATCTCCAGGCTGTAGTCCTCGTCTGAGTTCCAACGAAGTTGCCACGGGGAGCCCCTGAAGTTCAGCCCCGAGTAGGGTCTACTCTCTCGTTCATCCAAAAGGTCATCGGGATAAATACATAAATGCACCTATCAATCTGCGCACTTCGCTCTAAAACGTATCCCCAAATGTATCCCTGATTGGCATGCATGCTTCAGCGTCAGCGCGCTTTCTCTCCCCTTTCCCTTTCTTTCAGCTAGCAAAAAAGACAAAAAAAAAAAAAAACAACAGTTGAGGTTTAAACCATTTGGCTTCGACTGAAAACAGCATCGCCACTGGCAAATTACCACAAAGGTGAAAGAATATCCACAAAGGAGTTTTTCAGACAGAACTTGGGGAGGCAAACTCGCTGTTTTCGTTCCCGGATTTGCCCCCAAAGTGATGCAAGGTCAGAGCAGGGAAAATAGAAGATTAAAACAGGGATGGCTCCTTCTCTGTTGTGCTGTATTATTGCAGAAAATTGTTTGGGAGGGGGGAACAATATTTCCTTCCACAATGTTGCCTGTTTAGTATTCTCCTGACTGTCTGGCATAAAAGTTGGGAGAGACAATCTGGAGAACTTTGGGGACTGCTTAAAGAAGAGATGTGCCCAGGAGACCATCTAACGCCCAGGGCTCCCTTAATTCTAATTTGACATATTAGCAAACCAAGAAAGAGCACCAGCTGTTGAGAGTCTTGTGTTTTTAGCCAAATGCTTTCCCCCCTCCACTCCCCCAAATTTGAATAAATGTTGCCGGGCTCTCTTCCCTCACCCCCGCCACCGGTGGCAGGATTCAGCCGGTTCACACTAGTTTGGGAGAACCACTTGCTAACTTTCTGAGCAGTTTGGTGAACTGCTTGTTGGAAGAAATCATTAGGGCAGAGAACCTGCTGTTAAATTATTTGACCCCTGCCCGCCACCATCACGTTTGCTTTGCTCCAGTCCATAGGTGCATTGCACCAGCGCCATGTTGGATTTGGGAGTGTGTGTGTGTGTGTGTGTGTGTGGGAGGGGGGAGGAAATGCCCCAATCTGATTCTACCTTGTCTTGGTGAGCCCCTTTTGAATGCAACACTCCAGAGAGTGGAGCAAAGAACACAATGCTTGGAATTTATTCTGCAGGAAGATAGCTGGAGTTATCAATGTAAAGCAGCAGTGAATAAAGATGCAGGCGCAATCGTCTTTGCCTTTGATGTACAGATGATCGCTTTTTCTCCTCTTTTTTCCTGTGCATTTGAGTTCTTCTCCCCCACCCCACCCACTCCTGCATCTATTTCTCCATTATGCCGCATTATTACCAAAAATTGTTTGGGGAGGAATTTCCCCTCCCTTTTGTAGGCTGTTTAGTATTCTCCTAACTGCCTTGTATAGGAGCTGGGAGAGACCATTTGGGGCAAATTTGGAAACCCAGTGAAGTTCCCGTCATCGATGGGCACAATGTCTATAAGCACTATTTCCCATCCACCAACCTCCCCAAATAATCCCGTTTACGGCAGAGGTGGTATACAGCAGGTTCTGGAGAACCAATAGCAGAAATGTTGAGTAGTTCGGAGAACCTGCAAATACCACCTCTGACTGGCCCCATCCCCATCTATTCTCTGCCTCCCAAGTCCCAGCTGATGGGCTGGCTCTTATTTTGTTGCCCTGCCCAGGAGAATGGGTCTGGAAAGCAGGTTAGTGGGGTGGGGAGTAAATGGGGATTTTTCAGTAACCTTCCCCCAGGAGTGGGAAGGGAATTGGGGATTTTGTAGTATCCTTCTCCTGCCACATTCACCAAGCCACCCCATGCCCACTGAGCCATCCCACAAAACCGGTAGTAAAAAATTTTGAATCCCACCACTGGTTTACAGATTTGAAAAAGGGCTGTAATTGTGACATTGTTCTCACACTTAGAATCACCTGAGCCTCAAGGCCCCCCACACACACACCTGAAGACTCAATACTAGAGCCTTCACTTGGAATGCTGCATTTATTGACTGCACCAGCCCTGTCACTGCCAATTCGTTTATTACACCTATATGATTTCCCAACAGTCAAATCTGAAAATGGTGCTGATCCTTCATCCGTAACAGGGGAAAATAATAATTATCCTACAATGTCTAAGCCACCTTACTGGCTGTAGAATGTGAATGAGCAGGTTGTTCACTGGACAGCAAGCCAGCATTCCTCTGCTTGCATATCCAGGCAAGGAGAGACACAACTGCTCCTATCCTGATTAAGACACTATTACCAAATAGACTGGCCAAGCTCACAGCTGAGATTATTTGAACATAGTGAATCAATGTCTATGAAGTTTCTCAGGCATCCAGGTCCAGGGTTATCTCAAAGGTGCTTTATTCAAAAGACAACTGGATTGTGTTTCCCCATCCCCTTGGGAAAGAAGACATTTCACTTCTCATCCAAGAAGCTTCATCAGTTCTTGACAGGATGGTGGTGGGGGAAGGGAAACTGGGAGGATTATATTTCTTTGCAGTCATCTGGTTATTAGCACTCTCTCTGAGAGCCATTGAGACCAGCTGGGGATTTATCTGTGCCCTCAGGGTCACCTGAATCTGAGTGCAAATGGGTGTGGAATCTTCTTGGAACTGCTGAAAGGACTGTGTTGGAAACAGAAGATATATTTTTTATTTATTTTATTTGTCAAACAAGTATTAGATAACAAGTCTAAGTATAAACATGACTATGAATACATGCAATGGATACAAATAAAAAGAAACATTAGGACAGGGACGGTAGGCACATTGGTGCACTTATGCATGCCCCTTACAGACCTCCTAGACATGGGATGAGGTCAACAGTAGACAGTCTAAGGTTAAAGTTTTTGAGGTTTGGGGAAGAAACCACAGAGTCAGGTAGAGTATTCCAGACAATGACCACTCTGTTGCTGAAGTCGTATTTCCTGCAATTGAGTTTGGTGCAATTTATCTTGACTATTATCTATTGTGTGAGCTTGTATTGTTTTGGTTGAAGCTGAAGTAGACATTGACAGGTAGAACATTGCAATAGGTAATTTTATGTACTAGGGCGTAGTTCTGGGTTGTCCCATTCCTCCCCCTCTTCCTCCCCAAAGGGAGGGTTGTTCAATTCTAACATAGATGGCCTCTTTCAAACTCCTGATCCTCTCTACTCAGATTTCTATCTTCTTCCTCAAGGAATAAAACATAGTCCAGCTGCATTTTGAAAAAGCACCTTTGAGAATGAATCAATATTTTTACAAGAGACTTTCACGGCACCTCCATCTTCTATCTCCTGCTACGGCTATTTGTTATGTCATAAAGCAGAATTCCCTTCTTTTTGGCAAGTTACAAGTTACAAATCCTCTGGATGGCATTTTAACAGAAGGCTACTCCTGTCACTGAAGCTGGAGACAGAAGAAGGATTCAGATTAAGTTGAGCTGCCTTTAGTTACAACAGGGGCCAAAGGGAAATTGTTTCCAATGTTGATCATGGTGTTGGAAAAAACGTCCATCTGGGTTCAGTTCCAAGTGGGGAGAGAGACTCTGGAAACATGGAGGCTGTTTGGAAAGATGGTTTAATGGTGGACAGGATTACATGCCTTGGAGCTCTAGGGCGAAGAAAAGGGAACAGATGCCGAGAGTCGCTGGGTTTTATATCCTCTCTGACTTTGAACTTCCTGGGGCACAGGGAGAGTATCCTGCTTGGTTACTGTCAGAGGTCGTAGCTAGCTTTGTATGTTGTCTGTGTACTAAGTTTGGTTGAAACATGGTGGGTGATGCAATGAAGGGCAATGAAATGGCTCTGCCTGAAAGAGGTAGATCTTTGTTATGTAGAATAGACTGGGCCAGGCCTTAATAGCCCATTAACAAAGATGGGAGGCGGGCTGAGTTTCTGCCTCTCTGAGTTTCTACTTCTCTTTTAGGGGAAAAGTTATGCCTTTTTTAATGTATCCAAAAATATTTCATTTTTCTAGGAGAGGGGTGGGTTTTAACTTCCAACAATGTCAGGAACAAGTCAGAGCTTATTGCATGCTTCATGCATAACTATTCTGAAGCAACATCCCAATGGAAGTTCAACCCAGAGGGCAGAGACCGAAATTCACTTCCCAGCCAGCTAGAGAGCCACTGGGGTTTTAGTGTTTTGGGTGAGAGTAGAGTCTTGAGAGAGGCAAACCACTCCTCACAGCAATAACCGCGAGGCTGGAGTTCCACTTTTTTTTAATGTGCTTTGCAAAAGTGAAATTTCCATCACCTAATGGCTCCCATTTTGCTATATAACAACTCTTCAGACAACTTCCACTCCCATTTGTTTAAAATTCACAGCGGAAAATGGACATATTGCCGTGGATTTTTGGTACCCTGAACTTGTGAATCTATACGCAGCCCACATGTTGCTCCCCTGTGCATTACAACTATACATTAAAACATACATTAAAAGTGCATCCTGCTAAACTTTGCAGAAATGCGTTGTTTTATTATGAAAATTCCATCTATGGTCTGGGAAAAATGTTGATGGAAATGCATATAGATTTTTTTGAGTGAATTCGCTTTTTAATCACAGACTGAGGCAGACGGGGAACGCAAGTAATTTCAGGTTTAGAAAACGAGGCTGAGCCAAACCAAAGGTGACACGTTCATTCATCCCGCCTACACAGCGGGAACAGAGGTGTTCCCCCTGAATGCCAAGATAGCCAGGCTCTCATTGGCAGCAACCCCCGTTAACAGCTGCCTCTAAGCCTGAGCGTTCAGATTATTAACAGAACACACTTGATCCCTGCCAATGTCCTGTCTACGGCATCTCACTGTTTGCATTTATTGCATTGGGATGGGGAGGAAGTCAGAACCATGGTTTTCTCGAGTGAAAATACCTGAAACCTCAATGCTCTCAACACCCCAATGGTTGGTGGGAAGGCTTGGGTTCAAAGCAGTGGTGGGATTCAGCCAGTTCTCACCAGTTCGGGAGAACCAGTTGTTCATTTTCAGAGCAGTTTGGTGAACTGGTTGTTGGAAAAAAATTCATTAGGGAGAGAACCGGTTGTTCAATTCTTTGAATCCCACTATTGGTTCAAAGCCTCCCTTTCTCATAATGCTTGCAGGCCCTTTAGTGCCCAGGCTAGCCTACCTCACAAGGCTGTTCCCAGGGGTGGGCTTCAAACATTTTAGCAACAGGTTCTTTGCCTGGTTGCTAGGTGGGTGTGGCCATGGTGAGCATGGCCTAGTTGGCCTCCTGCACCATGGCGGGAGGGGACATTTCCCCCCCCCAGGCTCCAGAGGCTTCCTTGAGCTTCCAGGAGGGCGAAAACGGCCTCCCTGGGCTCTGGAGGCTCTCTGGAAGCCGGAAATGGGCCCATTTCTGGCCTTCCTGAACTTCTGGGAGGTTCGTTTTTCACCCTCCCTGAGCCTCTGTCCACTCCCTGCACTTACCAGCATCCAAAACAGGCCACATGGGACTCCTGGGAGGGGCAGGGTGGGGTGGGTGGGGCCAGCCAGGAGTGGGATTTGGGGGTTCTCCGAAATGCTCCGAATCTTAGCTGGGGGTTCTCCTGAACCCCTGCGAAACCCCCAGCAGCCCCAGCCCTGGCTGTTCCCCCTATCTGTAGAAATCCCATATCTGCATTGAAAAAAACCTTTGGAAGAAAGTCAGGGTAAAAATACAAGGGAGGGAACAAATAAAATCTCTATTTTTCTTCTCTATGCCACCATTTGACAAAAGTCCAACCTGGTGATTGGGTTCACTTTCACGACAGAGGAAAATCAAGGTAAGGAGGGAGGAGAGGACATCCGTAAATTCTTGCAAGCAAGAGCACAAATCTTCATGGTTACCACCTTTACACCTTAAAGTCAGTGGTGGGATTCAAGAAATGTTACTACGCGTTCTGTGGGTGCGGCTTGGGGAGCGTGGCTTGGTGGACGTGGCAGGGGAAGG